GGGTGGTGAGACCCTGGCACAGGTTGCCCAGAGAGGGGGTGGCAGCCCCATCCCTGGGAGTTTTTCAGGCCAGGCTGGATGGGGCTCTGGGCAGCCTGATCTAGTGGGGGATGTCCCTGCCCATGGCAGAGGGGTGGAGCTTTAAGGTCCCCTCCAACCCTGACAATGCTATGTTGAGTAAGGGGACTACTTTTGGCTTCTGGTTGTTCCTTGTCCAGTAATGGGGTAGCCGGAGGTAAAACCTGTCCTCATTTGGTATTAAAAACAGGTAAAAAGCTAGTTTGGCAGCCTGGTCAAAACACAGAAATCAGGTTTGTTTTCTGCCATCTCCTGCTGCAGCTCAACAGCTGCTCAGCAGGTCTGGAAAAGTTTTTTCCACTGGTGAAAAATGAAAAAGTCATAGGAGTTCAAGAGGGCATGCAATGCAACATCCAGGGATCCTACTCAAACCCTGTATGGGGAGAGGCAAGGCTGTATGAAAGGTCGTGAAGAAGAAGCATTGATCTTTTACCATCTCAGGGCTCAGATGTACAGAGAAGGGAAAACCCTCAAGCACCCAACGTTGGGTCCAATCAAACCTTCCTGGAGAAACCCGCTAGACGAATGGTTGCAGTGGTCAACAGCCACTTCTCCACCCCTCCAACTGCATCCCCTGCTTCCAGGGGTCCACAGCATCACCCCGGGCGTCGTGCTTACCATTAGCCAGATGGGAAAAGGCACCTTGCGAAGGATGTGGGAGCTGTCGGAGGTGACCGACTGGACACCGGCACACCACAGGATGGAGTATAGCCAGGGCTCGTTCACAGTGTAGAGATTCACACTTAGGTTCACCATGGCGTAGTCCCTGCCAGAAGACAGACCGGGTGAGATGTGAGTTGCCCAGCAAACATCAGACCCTCATCTTCAAGAGGGAAGTTCTTGTCGTCAGCCACCGTCGTAGTTGCAGCTAGATTTATTGGGTTAGAATTGCATGAAATATTGTGGGGTTTTTTTGTAGCAAGGCACAGTCACTTCATAAGCAACCCAAGGGCACTGCAATCAAGTGGTTTGAAGTTGAAAGCTGTGTGTCTGAGCCGGGCCACAGACCAGCTCAGATACCTCCTCACGAGTGATGGACGTGGCATGTTTTTGTAACAACTGCCTCATCACGTTGATGTAAAATTCACACCCGGCTCAGATGCCTCTAACACTTCATAGGCAATTTGCTTAATTAAAACCTGACAGACGCATTTCCAACATCAATTCCTACAACCTCTATATGCCCTTGTTTTTTGAGATGGCTGCAGAATTACAGCTTCTGGTCTCCTGAGATCATTTTCCAAGAAGCTGAAACCGCAAGCTGGGGTGCAGGAGCTGTCAGCAGCAAACCTAGAACTGAAAATGGACTCTCTGTACCTGAATGATTTGCATAAGTTGCTCTATTTCCTTATCTACAAACCAGAAGCATCACTGATCTCCCTCACGTGGGCAACACGGAGATTAATCCTTGCAATTTAATCTTGGCAAAGCACTTTGAGGATGAAGGCCACTGCAGAAAATGTGGACATAGTCAGACATCGGAACAGGCTGCCCAGGGTGGTGTTTAAAGGTCATTGAGATGTGGGGTTGGGGGAGATGGTTTAGGGGTGAGCTCTGTAGAGTAGGGTCAGTGGTTGGACTCGATGATCCAACCTGAAGGGGATTTTCCAACCTGAAGGATTCTATGACATCTCAAAGCGATCAAGCTGCTCCAGAGGCTAAAGGATTCTCAAGGGCAGGGTAATCAGCAGCAATGTTACACCCAGATGCTGATTTTGGGATAGGACTGAGGAAACTGTGTTAATCCAGGGCTTGTTTGAGCCTGCTGCAGAACTGGGCACCACAGGGCCCTTCAGGGTTCAAGAGACACTCAGGTGGCAGGTCTGGAGAGAGCTGAAGTGGGACTGATGAGAGATTGAGGCTGATGAGCTGGTTCAGACGAGACAGCCTGCACATGGTCGTCTCCATGAGACAGAGAAAATAGGTAGAGGGGTGGAAAAAGATGACAAGAGTTATCCTGTAGGTAAAGCACAGGCTTGGTTTTAAAGGGGGAGCAACCAGACCCATCACTGGCAGCCGTGGAAAGCCACCACGGGATTATGGTAAATGGAACCAAGCTCTCAAACAGGTGTGGGCTCAGCTCCTCCTTACACTCATTCCAAATCCAGAGCAAGACAAACCCTTTGAAGATACTCTACTTCTGCAAACCTGCTTCACTTTCAGATATGTCTTTGGGGAAAAAGGTCAATTAAAAAAACCAGGAAAGCTCTACTAGTGACGATCTGCCCTTTCCGAGAAGGGGGTAAAGCTGGGAGCTAACACACCGCACGGTTCAAATCCAGGTTCAGGCAAAAAGACAGGAAATCCATGCTGTGCCAACCTCATTAAAGAGGAGACCTGACCAGTCTAAACAGCTGACAAAGGACACTAATGAAACGGGTGAATTCTCTGCAAAGAGAAACTTTTGAAAGCACATCCAGACTTTGGACTAATCAAAATTCTGCGGTAGCAACTCTGGAGCAGACAAACAGAGGCAAAGGGCAGCTGCTAATGAGGACGAAACAGCACTTGGAGGTACTCGGTGTGAAAAGCCTTTGCTTTTTCCCAGAGCTGACAGAGTAATAAGAATCACACGATTCTTATTTTCATATTTCAAAATACGTTCATACATCGAATTAGCACGTAGAGTTGTCAGATCGAGTCCCGGAGAATAGTCTGGATTCTGGGTGATGGGCAGGGATAAGCTTTTGCAGCTCAAGTTTTCCAGGAATAGCCTGGATTTTGGGTGATGGGCAGCTCAAGTTTTCAAGAGTGAGTCCATCTGAAAAGGCACCTCAGTGCATGTAAAACAGAGGATGGTAGTAAACAGTTCCTTCTCAGACTGGCAACCAGTCACAAGTGGGATCCTCTAGTGATCAATATTGGGCCCAACGCTGTTTAATATCTTTATAAATTATCTGGATGCTGGGATCAAGAGCATACTGATGATGTTTGTGGGTGACATCAAAATGAGTGGGGAAGTTGACAGTCCAGACAGGAGAGCCACCCTCCAGAGAGACCTGGAGGAGTGGGCTAGCGGGAATCTTATGATATTCAATGGGGACAAGTGTAAGGTTTTTCACCTGGGAGCACACAACCTATGAATGCAGCTTGGACTGGGATCCACGTGGCTGGATGCTCTCCCCGGATGCTGCGCTAGAGAGAGGGACTTGGGGGTCTTGGTGGTCATCAGGCTCAACAGGAGTGAACAGTGCACTGCAGTGGCAAAGAAAGCAAACAGGATGCTGGTCTGCATGAACAAAGGCGTCAGCAGCGGAGAAAAAGTCATAGAATAGTTTCAGCTGGAAGAGACCTTAAAGATCATCAAGTCCAGCCTTTGTCCCAGCCCTATCAACCAGCTAAACGATGCCCCCCAGTGCAATAACTCACCTGTCTCTTAAACACCTCCAGGGATGGTGACCCAACCACCTCGCTGGGCAGCCTAAGTCATCACACCACCCTACTCAGCACCTTGAGTACTGTGTTCAGTTTTGGTCCCCGCTATATAGAAGATGCTGACAACTGGAAAGGGTCCAGAGAAGGGCCAAGAGGATGATCAGAGGACTAGGAGACCTGCTGTTGGAAGAAAGGCTGAGAGAACTGGGTTTGTTCAGCCTTGAGAAGGCTCAGGGGAGACCTTATTCCCATGTACCAGTGCATAAAGTCTGGCTGCCAAGAAGATGGAGATTCCCTTTTTACGAGGAGTCACATGGATAAGACAAGGGGTAATGGGTACAAGCTGCTCCTGGGGAGATTCCAAATGGACTCCAGAGGAAAATTTTTCACTATGAGAGCAATTAAACACTGAAATATTCTTCCAGGGGAAGCAGTGGATTCCTCAACTTTAGACCGTTTCAAAGCTCAGCTTGGCAGGGTGCTGGGCCATCTCATTTAAACTGTATTTCTTTACCTTAAAGGGTTGGACTAGATGATCCAAGCCTTCCAACCTGGTATTCTATGATTCTGTGCTAGCCTGGGATGATCAGAACAGACACTGCTGGGCCAGGGACGCACGCAGAGCCTTGAACGTGGTTTACTTGTGCGGTGCCCGAGCGCAGCGCCGTACCTGACATCCTCATTCGTGACCTTGGTGTAACGCAGGTTGAGCTTCACGATGCCCTTCTCCCTCATGCGCTCCGCGTCCAGCTTGAGGCCAGAAGTCTGCTGGAAACCCGGCGCGATCTGTCTGACCAGCTGCCTCTCTGCGTCCGGCAGCCACATCACCTGCGGAGGGGGCGAGACTTGAGGATGGCTACGGCAAAGATAGTTCACAAAGCAGCTTAGTAGGCAGCCAGTTTACACCAAGCCAGAGGCAAAATCGCACAAGAGACTGCCTTGTTTGTCACGCAGATTGTCTAGGAAGTGCTTACAGCCTTCCACATCTTTAATCAAACACAGCTCAGGACTATCCTTGAGCCTAAAGGACTGTAATGCACAAAAAGGTGAAAAGAGTTCGGATACAAAGAGATCAGGCCAAGGGTTCATGAGAAGTGGTGTGTCCTTGAAAACTTGCCCAGTTCAGGGCATGGAGAGAACTAAGGACACAACATTAACAGCATAGAAGAAGTCTCTCATGATCCCACGGCTCAGACTAGTTTTATTGACCCTCTTTTATCAGGGCAATTCCAACCCAAGGCAAAGATTTCCTTAAGTTCATGCCACACTTGGAAAGCACGTCAAATTAATTACTGTTAATATGCTCAGCTGGTACACGTCAAGTGGATGAGGAACTGAGGTGAGTAGTTTTATGGTTTGTGCCATGCAGAGGCTGGGCCCAATCAGATAATCCCAGCAGCACCACTGAGCATTGCATTGCTTTAACCCATGGTTAAACTCAGCAACACTCATCTACCAAAGCATCAAAGCAACACAGATGCATTCATTTTCAACACGGAACCATAAAACCTGGGTGAGAAATATCACTTCACAACTCCACGTTTTGATCTATGTTTTGATTGTTTTTCTCCTGCCAATATCCAAGGGCCAGAGAGCATGGTCTTCCTTTAACCAGTCCATATTCAAAGCAGAGTGCAGGGCAAGTGAAAGGACCAGATTTCCTTCCTAAGACAAGTGAAGGAGGAAGGTTTTCCATGGGACACCCAGAATCTCCAGATTTAGGTGCCCTTCTGACACATGGGAAGTGGTGCTCTCCCTCCAAAAGACATGGATGTATCAAAAGGAGCTCCTGATGGGCTGGGTGAAGATCTATACCTCATGGTCAGAGAGGACATATTTAGCAAGGCTGGCTGGAGTCTGACTCCAAACACTCAGAGTCAAAAATAAAAATGTTTGCAATAACCCAGAAAGGACAATTGTGGAATCTCTGCAGGTCCATAGACCTCTTTTTGGCTGAAAACCCCTCGGCTCCAGGACATCCATCTCTCCTCCAAAAAGAAGCTGGCTCAAGGCTGAAACAGTTGCTCAGCCCGGGGAAAGGATTATTTTAAACCAAGGAGCTGGAGGGAGAGGAATGACTCTCTGCTTTTCATAACCACCCTCCAGGACTCAAGCCCCTTCCCTCGTGTCTAAGGCTCTCAGTGAATCGCTCAGTGGGAAGGAATCTCAGGAGATCTCTACTCCAACACAAACTAGTGCCAGCTCTGATTTGAAACAAGCTGCCCAGGGCTTTGTCCAGCAGTTTGTAAAGCTCCAAGGATGAAGATCCCTCAGTCTTTCCTGGTCCCCCTCAATACTCGCGTGCCCTCACAGGGAAAATTATTTTCCTTATATCCAGCAAACCCCTCTCCTGTTCCAGGCACAGTCCTCCCCAGCATGACATCTTGGCATGAAGTGGCATTTCCAATCCAGTGTTCAAATGGATCAAATGAGACAAATGAGGATGCAGGGAACTCATAAAAGAGGGTAACTCTGAAAAACATCACCAACCCCACAGAACTCACAGCCTGTTGCCGAATTCCCGACGCCAGGATGGTTTCCAGGGTGATATTGATGTAAGTGCTGTAGTAGGGATGAGCTGGCGGCAGGTCCTGGAAGTTCAGGATGAGCGATGTGTTGTCCTTGATCACCTCCAGCATATCTGCCAGCTTGCAGACTGACTGATTGGCAGCTTCCAAGTAGTCAGACCTTGAGAGAGACCCAGCCGTCCAGAAAGGGTCGTTCTGAAAGCAAAGCACCTCCCTGCGTTAGTACCACAGACCCTGGACTCCACCAATAGAGGTGAAGACCCTTCTCTATCCCACCTTGGCAACAGCAGAGGATGCTCAAAGCTATGTTTGACGACCATCTTGCAGCCTGCTGATGTTCTGTGCCTCAGTTTCCCCACCCAAGGGGAGGTCAGATCCTTACTGAAAGCAAGGTGTGCTAAGCAGGTCACCTCCCTTCCAGGAGGAGAGTAGAGCTATAGGGCAGTAATGTAATTTTCCAAAGTAGTAAGCTAAAAATGAACTTTCTCACACTATATAATATGATCACCTAGGATTCCTTCATTCTTCCAAAATGAAAAGGATCAGCTATTACATAACTAAATGATTGGAGGGGAGCTATGGGCTCCCGACTTAAAGACATTCAGGAATGACAACTGCTCTCCAAGAAGGTTATTGCCACTGGCCAGAGGCTTTGGCAGAAAGAAATCCCACCTGCAACTTGGCTGCAGGCCCAAGGATGGGTCAAAGCCCATCCCATAGCAATTCCTCCCTCCCTCTGGACTTTTAAGGCTGAATTTCTTGCTTTTTCTTTGTAAAGACAATTGTCTCCAAAAGTAAATTAAAGAAAAAGGAACAGCATATAACACACTGCCTTTTCTGTTCTCTTTATAAGCATGTGCACTCTCCTGTGGGGTCTTGATGTTCTTTGCGGTGTCAATCAGGCATCAAGACTCTTCCAGGTGGTGGAAGAGGCACACAAAGACAATGCAACTTTCAGACCAGGTCTAAGTTTAGTAGAGGACAGAACTAAATGTGGTCTTTGGTCTAGCTGCACTTCAGATCACTCCACCAATGAGATGGATCTACAATCTTTCCACCTCAAAGAAGGTTTCACCCCATGGCTCGAGGACACCCTCTCCATGGCTGTACGCACTTTTAAGAACCACTCTCCAGCATTGAGCTTTTCCAGGTCGGTCCAGTTGAACATGGAGGAGTGCTCATAAGCCCGTTCTGGAAACACTTCATCCACATTTGTCGTTCTCCTGAGTGTCTTGTCGTGCATCAGAAATGGCACTCCATCATAGCTGCAAAGACAGTGAGAGGCTGCTGTTACAGGTGCACAACCATGTACACAGAACTAGAAAAATACCTGTTCCCACTCCAGCCTCTCTCATGGCTTCAAATCAAAATCATTGAGAAGACCCTGACCAGTTTAACATGTTCCCAGCATCCCCAAGACGAGTCAAAATGAGATGTACCCAGAGGAAAAAGCCTCTTGGATACCCATTAGATGTTTGCAGTCACTCAAAAGCTGACATAATCCTATCCATCCCTCCCTCCTCCCCACTACCCTCCTTAAAAATGTAGAGAGGGCCAAATTCAGGTGGACAAGAACATCCACCCTGAAATGTTCACATTAACCAAAGCTTTCCGCAGTGTCTGTAGCTCCCAGCAATATCAGAGGTTTTCCCTACCCTACATTCACACACACAAACTATTCTCAAATTGTTAACAGTAGATGATGAGTGAGATTTTCAAAAGCTCTCAGGCTGTATGAGACCTTAATGGTCACAGGCTTTCAGCAAGATGCAAGGGTTCCAAGGTACCAAAAGTGCTTTTAAATTGCCTTTTCCGGTTGCACATTGGATTCAGGAAACAGCCATGCTCACATGAGTTATTAAGTTTATGGACCTTAGACAAAACACACCTCTTAGATGAAACTAAAGAGCCAAATGTGTGCCCTGTGTTTTTTTAGCCACCTAGATACTACAAAACAATGGTTTTGGGAAGCCCAAAAAGCTCTTTAAATTATGTTCCACCCAATTTTCTGTGACTGGATGTGTGGTAACACCACACAGTGCAGCGATGGTTTCTATCAAGGGCAGGTGGACAGTTGCCTGCATTCGGAAATCAAGATAAACCCAGGGCAGTCAGCCTGACTGTGATGACATTTTCCAAAGCAAGGGGCCCATCTTCATAATGAGAAACTTAGATAAGGTCTGGAAAGGAGATGGGGTTAAAATACAAAAACCCATTTAAATTAGGAGACAATCCAGAGCACTAACTCCCAGAGCTGGAGGGAAAACAAGAACCAATTTTAAATGATGGAGCAAATGCTGCCTCAGCTTTACCATTGCTGCAGAAGTCCCTTATCACAAAGGTCACTGGCATCTTTATTTGCTATTTCTAGCATGCACTGTGCCAATGACTTCCCCCCAACCCAAAGCGACACGCTGACACAGCAATCCCATGCTCAGCAGCACACCGCGCTGCCGCAATCAGAAGGTCTTTTAATAAATACAGTAAAAAAAAAAAAAAAAGACACTAAGCAACTGCAGAATTTAGAGTGTGGAGTGTTTAAGGGAGATAGGAACTCAAGTTTTAACACCTCATAGTAGAGCATCAGCAGATACTGCTAAGCCTTAGCCACAGCGTGGAAACCCTGCGAAGCATTTAACATTCGCTCCGTCTCGTCTAATCCTTCGCCACACGGAGTCACTCAGCACGACCCAAGGCTAACCACAACATATTAGCAGGCACAGGTTTGAAAAAAATAATTCAGAGACAGAAATTGGAGCTCAGAGGGTGAGACGTGGGAGGAGGTAGAATATGAGAGAGGAACACGCGGCGATACTATGCTCCCGCTGCTGTATCAGCAGGATGTTACTAATGTATAGAAATATCTGAGGGGTGGGAGTCAAGGGGAAGGGGACAATCTCTGCTCAGTGGTGCCCAGCAATGGAACAAGGAATAATGGGTTTGAGTTAGACCATGGGAAGTTCCAGCTCAACGTGAGGAGAAACTTGTTGGCTGTGCGGGTGCCGGAGCCCTGGCCCAGGCTGCCCAGAGAAGGGTGTGGAGTCTCCTGCTCTGGAGACTTTCCAAGCCGCCTGGACACGTTACTGCGTGGCTGCCCTGGGTGACCCTGCTCTGGCAGGGGGTTGGACTGAATGATCACTAGAGGTCCCTTCCAACCCTCAACATTCTATGATTCTGTGATGACCAGTGCTGCCTTTATAACCAGGGCCACCCAGTTTGGGTTCTGCATTGGGTAGGGAGCAGGGTGTGATGGGTCTGAGTGTATGTCCAAGTAGCCTACCCACGGCTGATATGTGCCTAGAAGAACATGGAAACATCCCCAGAGGGGTGGTCCTGGATTGAGTGGACCCATCCAGCCTCATGAAGAGCATCTTTAGAATCATAGAATCGTGTCAGCTGGAAGAGACCTAGAAGATTGAGTCCAACCCAGCCCTATCAACCTACTAAACAATTCCCCCCAATGCTATGTCCATCTGTCTCTTAAGTACCTCCAGGGACGGTGACTCAACCTCCTCCCTGGGCAGCCTGTTCCAATGCCTGACAACCCTTTTAGTATAGAGATTCTTCCTAACATCTAACCTGATATCTATCCTTTCCTAATATCTATCTTCTCAGAAGGATAAGGACAGCAAGGAGTGTTCTGTCACAAACTCTCCCCAGAGATGCTGCCAGCCATATCGAAGGCTCACGTTTTGGTCTGAAAGTCACTGGAGTACTCTTTTCATAAAGACACTTGGGTCTCCTAAAGAGAGACTCGGTTAATTGGGCCATCAAGGACATTGTCTGAGCTTGGACTGCTTTGTTTAAGCTTGGACTGCTCCTCTGGGATGGCTGATGAGCAGCAACACGGAAAGCTCTTGGAGTTTTTCCATCTGTCCTCCTCCAAAAAAGTCCACCTCTCTCCTTGGCCAGTGCTAATGGAAGCAATTGATTCAGCCACATGAGCCGAGTGCTCGCCTGCGAGTCTGAACAGCCAAGCAGTTGTCCTTTCACAACAGTTAACAAACTGATTTTGGAAAGAACAAGCATACATCCCGATTCATACTTCACCCTTCCACAATGACCTTCCACTCCCCAGTGGAGAGGAAATTGTGTCTTGTGCCAAGGCCAGCTGACTTCAAGCCAGGCTAGAAACCAGGTGCTGTGTTTCACAGCAATAAGGTAAGCTCAAGGATAAACTAGAGTCTTCCTGCAAATGAAGATTAGTTTCATGATCAGGGTATCCAAGTTCCAACTTCACCATTAATCATCATCTCAGTGGAACAATGAGTAGCCCCTGTGCATTACAAATGGAGACAGCTCAGAGTTGTCAGACACATGCACCGCAAGAGCCCTTTTCAATGGGAAAGAGCAGTAACAACAAGTCACACATCAGATAGGAAAGACCCATCAACATGGTTTGGACCTTCCAAGACAGAGAAAGCCTCAGACCAGCCAGCACACTGGCTTACCTCAGTACAACATCAGCTTGGACTCCGTACATCTTCTGCTCCACCGCCTTCTGGAAGGACATCAGAGTGTTTTCTGGTGCCAGCTACGGGGGAAAAAGAGCAACGAGAGATTAGCAATAAGTGGAAACATTCGCAAAATGGTGTTTGTGAGGTTTAGAGATATTAAGGAGGCAAAACAATCTTGTTTTGCGGATTACGCGCCAACCAGTTCCACTGGCATACCAGTGACCCCCAGAAAGAATTGCATCTTACTGAAGTCTGGAGATGACCAATGCGTTTGCCTCCACTGATGGTCTTTCACACACAGGACAGAGTTCAAAGCAGAGTTATCGTGGTCTTCAATGCCAGAAACTCAACTCACCTGAGATCTGGTGCAAAACCAGTGTACAAGGGATTAGCTCACCAGTGTGGTCCTCCATTCAGTAGCTTGCTGAAGACATCCAGCAAGTGATTGTTAAAGTGATAGCAATTTTCCTTTCACTAGTTATATCTAGAACCACCTAAACCACCTTAACAGTTCTTCATTCTCCTGTTTTTCTATGCAACCAGGGGCTATGATGCCATTACAGAAAGAAGAAATTCCATAAACCAGGGTATTATCCATACCATGAAGAACTAGACCACAGGTTCTGTAGCACACACTATATTTCCACATCTACTCACTCAATAAAGTCACCTCTTGGTCTAAAAATCCATTGATTTCTCTAATAACTAGTGCTCTAGCTAGTGTTAACAAGAATTTGAAAAAAACATCCTTAAGCCTAGAAAATTTGTCCCCATGGCTGTCCCAGATAAGGACTTAAATTTTTTTTTCAAATTCCTTCCTGTTGAATGGAGCAGATGGTAACAGAATTTGGGTTTAAAAACAATATAGTGTAAAGACAAATACTTTGTTTTTCTACAAACCAAGTACACTATAGCTAGCCCCAAAATGTCCAAAAACCAACAACAGACAGACTGGGAAAAAAATATTAAAAAAACGACAGCTGTGGAGAGAAAATCCGGCAGGTTTTCTGCACTAAAATATGAGCATATCAAAATAAAGCTATTTAAAAATAAAATTTTCTTTTATCCAATTTTGCTTTAAGGTTTAGAGCACCTGTAACATCCTGCTTTTCTATTCATCTCAGCCACCTCCAGGACCAGTATGTTTCCATCAAGACACAATGAGCTTTCAACAACCCAGGATTTTCAGGAATTGCTCAGGGGTTGGGAAAAGGAACAGTTAAGAACAAAGGCCTAAATGCACCAGGCAAGTGTATAAAAGCCTGTTCAAGAGTTTAAGGTGTCTCCAAGAATCATTTGATTTTTTTCTAAGCTGATGACCTTACATGCTCAGGTCAGCCAAGCTTTGGCATAAAATCATCAGAACAAATGTCAGCAACAACCTTCACATAGCTCCGCTATCTCACTCCTAAATTCCTCTGGCTTAAGCCACGCATCGATACTGGTTCATTTTTATGTTTGCTCAACAAAGGCAAGAGAAAGGCACGTTACCTTCCTAAAAAAAGCTCCCAATCAAAGCCTGACTTGTCTAGGCAAGCACAGAGGCAACACCCTCATCACACCCTCTCACACAGCCCAGCGCTGGGTCATGCAAGGTCGGCCTGAAAGAGCTTTTTTTTAATTTTTTTTTTTGCAATATGCAGGATGCCCAGAGCTGTCAGCAGGGAGCAGCAGCCACAAAGGTCTGAAGATCCCGTCCAAACTTGTTCCATCTCTTTGAGTTGCCTTCAGCATCTCAGGTTTCCCCAAGTAACTCAGGTTTCCTCAGGATGTCACTGGCAAGGTGATCCTCTCTCTACAGGGAAACACTCAATATTTGCTTTCAGAAACCGCAGCAATGACAAGGAAATAAATTGAGTAGTCTTCAAACAAGGGAGAGCTGAGCTGGAGAAACCAAAGGGCAATGCAAGACCACCAGCCTGTCAGAAAGGGTTGCTGGGTAGAAGCAACGTTCCAGATGTGACACCACATCAAGCAGCAACTGAACTCACACCCCTAAAAGCAGTCTTAACAGGGTTGTGGACGTACATGGAATAGAAAAGCACAGTGTAATGGGTTGTAAATCATCTCCCAGGCTAAGGGAGACTGGAAAGGGCAGGTTGGACAACCTCCACTAAGCCATCAATGTAAAACCCTTCAGTAAGTGTAGGATAACACTGCTGTTACCCACCCACACAAGAAAGAGTTCATATTGCATGAATCGGAGCTAACGAAGGCAAACAAGCATGGCTGCAACAGTATTCCACCTCTGTAGAGGTGGAGCAGCATGACCAAGGTCTTCTCATGTCTTACCTGAACTCTGAACTCCAGCACAGCAGAATCCTAACCCAAAGAGAGCATAGGCTCCACTCCTTGATAATGAAAATGAAATATTTCTGGCCTCTTTTCAGCTTCTGCCTTGCTTAGACACACCAGTCCTCCTGAGATGCAGCTGGTTTGAGATGCAGGGGAAGCTTTAACCTACATGACAGGGAAGCCCCAGCCCCTCCTTGCTGGAGGCACTAGAAGAAAACACAGAACCAAACAGACCTGAGATGGCAAATCCACATGCAAGAGCCTCCATCAGCTGGGAAAAGCAAACGTGGACAGAGCTGAGACTGCCCGCAGAGGTGATAGATGAAAGCCAAATACAAATCCAGCCTTTTGGGGATGGGATTTCTATTTGCCAGACTGGACAAACTTGGCCATGTAAGGGCAGGAGTGATGTTCAGGCATCTTAGAGGCAGTGCTATAACACAGGCTGCAGTGAGCTAACACCCGAGATCTTCACTGAGCTTTAAAACTCAGTGCACTACAGCTGTCCCATCCTCAGCAGACGGTTGCTACCAAGCTTAACCCTGTGGAGAGACATAAACAGAATATCCCACTCCTGCCTCATCTCTAGCCCCTACAGAGCTTGCAGACCTGGCTTCACTCTTCAAGAGGATAAAACTTAACTGGACCCCACCAGGGTTGCGTGTGGCCACTCAGATCTGAGGCACATCCACTCTTTTCCCAGGAACTTGTCCCCAGGCTCAGGTTAAATAAACTTACAAAACTCTGGCCAGATGTGTGTTAAAAATGCAGTTTTGCAGCTGTGCAGAAAAAAATAGCATTTTAGAACTGTCCTAAGAACAGATTGTCACATCAGGTCCGACATGGCCAGAGCCACTCACTCAGATACAGAACCATAGAATTGTCAGGGTTGGAAGGGACATTGACCACCACCCCACCACTAGAAGCGAAGAGCATCCTCTTGAAGAGCATCTCTGATGGATGAACATCTCTGGCTGCTCTGAATCAGCAAAGAGCACGGACGTCAGCAGGAGCTCACTCCGTCACACCATGCCCTACGATGGGTAACAACACCGCAAGGCTCTTACTTGACAGCCTGATTCCCTCTTCTTTGTCAGAAGCTTTTGGAAACAAAAGAAGCCTGCAGAGAAAGGCAAGTATGTGGTGGGTAAGCTCCTAACCTGGCCAGAGCCACTCACTCAGATACAGAACCATAGAATTGTCAGGGTTGGAAGGGACATTGAAGAACATCCAGTTCCAACCCCCTGCCATGGGCAGGGACATCCCCCACTAGAGGCCAGGAGCCCCATCCAACCTGGCCTGAAAAACTCCCAGGGATGGGGCTGCCACCCCCTCTCTGGGCAACCTGTGCCAGGGTCTCCCCACCCTCATGGGGAAGAACTTCTTCCTCACATCCCATCTGAACCGACCCATCTCCGGCTTCAATCCATTCCCTCTAGTCCTACCACTGCCCGACATCCTAACAAGCCCCTCCTCAGCTTTCTTGTAGCCCCCTTGAGATCCTGGAAGCCACAAGAAGGTCTCCTCGGAGCCTTCTTTTCTGCAGACTGAACAGCGCCAACTTTCTCAGTCTGTCTGCACAGGAGAGCTGCTCCAGCCTCTGAGCATCCTCGTGGCCCTTCTCTGGACACGCTCCAGCACATTCTGACCTCTCTTGTGATGTGCCTCCAGAGCTGGACGCAGCACTCCAGGTGAGAGTGGAGACCCAATTGCATCTCCAAACGAGTCCACTATTAACACAAAAAGCTTTCCTCCCTGGTGTCTAAACCTCTCAGTGGATCTTAGCCTTGAGGGGACTGAGCAAGCCACTCACACCAATGACATAACCCAGTGAAGGTCAACCAGAAAGCCAGGAAAGTAAATTTAACCCTGTTCCCTGAAATCAGCCCCTGCCTTTTCCTGGAGGTTCCCCTGGCACCCCTTTGGAGGCAGAATCTCTCGCTGCCAGGAGTTCAAATCCCTTACAATGAGAGGTTTTTGTGAAAAGAGAGAATCCGAGTAACAGATACTTCCATCCTGCCAGCCTGTCTTCCTCCAAGAGAGAGGGAGCTGAAGCTCCAAATTCAGCATGTTTAGGGCAGAGATACATCCAAGCAGGACAGATGCCAGTACGAAAATTACCAGCTGAGATTAGTGCTGGGTTGGGGTTTTCTTTTTAGTTTGGTGGGGGTTTTTTGGTTTGTTTGGTTTTTTTTTTTAAGGCTTTACAGCAAAACTGCAATAACTAAATAAATGCATAATCTTTCTGCTTGCATTTCTCTCTCTCCCTCTTTGATAGGTTTTCTTCCTTGGCACAACACTTTCAGACACGTTTTGTCTAAAAAATCCAGGTGCATGGCCACCACGTGGACACAATCAATTTCATAAGAAGAACAATGAATTCCTTAAGAAGGAAGCCCTGGGGCACCAAGCTATAATTTCACTCTAAAATCTCTGTCCCGTATAAACCATGCCAAAATCCCCTGAAAGCCAGAGACAGACCCTGTGCAGGGTTTCGAGAAGCTGGTCCTTCTCTTCATTCTTGGTTTGATGCGCTCATCCCTCGTGAAAAAGCAGACTACTACTCATTTCTTCCTGCTACAAATAATTTCTAGAAAATTACCAATGGATGAACTCATTTCAGCTATTTTTTGCTCCCAGAAGTCAATCGCAAGTGCTTTCAAGTGGAGCCAAGCGCTTTGGACCTTCCTTAACGAAGGTGATGAAAGTGTACTCATTAGAGGAGTGCAACCTTCCTGCAGTTGGACGTCACTACACTTTATTTTCCCCCTAATAAGGCACC